ACGCAGCCACCCGTCGTCACGTGATATAGCGCTCCTTCAGAACAACTCACTAACTTGAACCGTTCGTAGACTCTCTTCAAGCCCGTCACGAGTGTCGATGAGCTCCCTGAGTGGAACTTCGACGGTTCCTCCACCAACCAGGCCCCCGGTGACAACTCCGATGTGTACCTTCGCCCCGTCGCTTACTACCCCGACCCCTTCCGCCAAGGTGACAACATCCTTGTCCTCTGCGAGACCTGGGATGCCGATGGAAGCCCCAACAAGTTCAACTTCCGTCACGAAGCCAACCGTCTGATGGAGACCAACGCCCACGAGGGATTCTGGTTCGGTCTGGAGCAGGAGTACACTCTCCTCGGTACTGATGGGTGGCCTTACGGCTGGCCTCGTGGCGGTTTCCCCGGTGCCCAGGGCCCCTACTACTGCGGTGTCGGTACCGGAAAGGTCTACTGCCGTGATATTGTCGAGGCTCACTACCGTGCCTGCTTGTACGCCGGAATCAACATCTCCGGTATCAACGCTGAGGTCATGCCCTCCCAGTGGGAGTACCAGGTCGGCCCCTGCCCTGGCATCGATAGTAAGTTTGGGAATCCCCGACAATAGAGTATCATGAGACTGACTGTTTTTCTAGTGGGTGATCACCTCTGGATGTCCCGTTTCCTTCTCCACCGTGTCGCTGAAGAGTTCGGCGTCCGTATCTCCTTCGAGCCCAAGCCCATCAAGGGTGAGTGGAACGGTGCCGGTCTTCACTCCAACGTCTCCACCCACGCCACTCGTGCCGAGGGTGGTATGAAGGTTATTGAGGCCGCCATGAAGAAGTTCGAGGCCCGTCATGTTGAGCACATCGCCGTCTACGGTGAGGGTAACGAGGAGCGTCTCACCGGTCGCCACGAGACCGGTAGCATCGACAAGTTCTCTTATGGTGTCGCCGACCGTGGTGGCTCCATCAGAATCCCGCGTCAGTGTGCTAAGGATGGTCGTGGTTATTTCGAAGGTAATTTTTATATCAACACCCATGTATGGAAGACATACTGACCTGCTTTGTCACAGACCGCCGTCCCGCATCGAACGCTGATCCCTACCAGATCACTGGTATCATCGTTGAGACTATGTGTGGTGGCCTTTAAATGGATAGAAGGAATCATTTGGTCTTAGCGCTCCGATACCCTCGGCTTCAACCTGGGAGTCGGACCAGAGCGGCCTGACTGCGTGAGGGAGCCCCCATAGATGTTCTGTGATCTGCCTTCTCTCTCTTCCTCTTTCCTGTCTTTCTTCTCCTGCTCTGTCCTTTTCTTTCTCCCGGTTCCAGTGTCCGCCTATTGCGTCCTGCTGGCCCTCCCTCGTTGCACCAGCCGCACTTTTTTTTTTCTGTTTCTCTCGACTACCCTTCACAGGGTAATGTGACACGTACAATAGCATAGAATATTCATGGATGGGAAAAACCGCACCATCGTTTATCGAGAGATATCATACTGATATCGTTCCTCTGGAGAATCGACAATTAATACCAAGTTTCAATTTTGCACTGACCCTCACCTTGGAGTAATTTTCGTGTCTGAGCCAACACCAACATTGCTTAACAATTGAGCTCATGTTCTTTTTCTACGTTAGTCCCATTGGTCCTATTAGATCGGGGTATCTCGCCAGATCGTCTTCGTGACACATGGAAGGATCTTGAACTCAATCTAGTATCACATTACAGCATCCAATGGAGGTCTTCTATCCTTATGCAGATCATAAGAGTGTATGACAATCTCAAATGGCCGAACACGATCAACGTCCAAGACGCATGAATCTGTAATCTTCGGTCCGTTTAGTTGACTAGTGTTGCCTAATGAAGCAGGGTATTCTGTAAAAGTGTATGTCCAAAATTAGATGTATTCACTCCTATAGTTCTATAAAAGTCCCACACAGCAGCAAAATTAGAGAAATATAGCAGTACTTTTACCGTTACCACGACGGCCACACCACACACATACACACAAGTCTACCTAAGAATCACCTTCCCAGCTTCAACCGACGCCTAACACCAGCGCCCAACCCATGCAAACCACGTTGACGCACCTCACGCCTCCCAGCCCCATCGACCGCGCCATCAACATCGTTGCGATATCTCCCATCAACAAAGCGCAACAGAACCTCCATCAGCGCCGCGGAGAGAATACTGCCCGCCAGAATACCAATCATGACGAGGTTACTCTTCCTGTACTTCTCACGCCCTGGCGCCTCGTAGTCACTCTTCCACCCGGAATAGAGCGCATACGTCGTGAGGATACTGCCCAGATTACCGAGTCCGGAGACAACAGCCGACGCAGCAGCTACGCCGACCTCGCCGTGTCGAGGTTGGAATATCTCCGTCGTCCAGGTCATCGTTATCGGGACTGTGGGACCGAGCCCGAATCCAACGATTAGAAGCCCGCCGTACCGGGGCCATGGGTTTGCGTCTGTGCCCGCGTAGCTTGTTAGCAGGAGGCCGAGGATCTGGAGGAGGACAGGGATTGAGAAGAAGATTGCGCGGTGGCGGTGGAAGCGGTCTGAGAGGGGTGTAACTAGGAGGATGGCGATAAGGTCCATCTGTAGGGGATGCGTTAGCGAGTAGAACTTGTAAAAGAGAGCCAAAAACAACAGGAAAAAAAAACTAAAAAGGAAAGAAAAACATACAATCCAGATCGGAGCCGTCAACAGACTCAAAGAGACATCACTCAAAGTCGGGTCGATAGCCTTGATAATCAAGTTCGCGTACAACTGCACGCCAATACCAACACCCACAACACCGAAATACATAATAAGCAGCGGGTACAACCTCCAATCCAGAAACACCGCGAGCAGATCCCGCAGCGTCCATGCAGACGAGTGATAAACACGCTTTAGATCATGGTAGTGCACGACGGCATCGGCGCCCTTCAGCGCGGGTGCGGTGGGTGGCACCCAACGCATCATCCAGGTACGTTTTGGCGCGGGCTCGCCAGGCGGCGTGGGTCTGTCTGGTAACCACCATAGCAGGGCGAAACCCAGGGCGACGGTGATGACGCCGTAGACAAGGAACATCCACTGGAAGCCGACGAGGCCGTGGGCGCCGTCCATTTTTTGGAAGCCGGCGGAGACGAGACCGACTACGGCGGCGGAGACTTGCGAGGCCGTGAAGTATTGCCCGATGCGTTTGCCGATGCGTGAAGGCGGGTAGAATAGAGTTAGGTAGTATGTCATGCCGGGCCACATGCCTGCTGTGACGATACCGAGGAGGAGACGGAGGAGACTAAGGGTTTTGTTAGATATAAGATGTGACATGGAGCAAGGGGTTGGACGGGGTTGGACGTACTAGAAGCTCCAGGCTGCCTTCATTGCGGCGAGGCAGCTTCCGATTAGACCTACGCTGATCACGATGCGGCTCATCCAGACGTGGGGGCTTAGGCGGGTCATGATTAGGTTTGAAGGGAGGTCGAAGATCACGTAGCAGACGTAGAAGAGGGCGAGACCGGTTGAGATCTCGTGCCGGGTTAAGTTGAGCACGGTTCCGAGGTCGTGGCCGGTGTCTGTGTTCATTGTCTGTGCTAGGCCTACGTTCGACCGGATGGCTGAACAGAGGAAGTAGAGGATCCAAAATGCGGAGATAATGCGACGATCCAGTTTTCTGCGATTGCATGTTAGGTTCTGATATTGGATTGTTCCTCAGAGACGCGAGTCACCTGTAGATCCGTTCGATGTTGGCCACGCTGTGGTCCTCGGACTCGATGTCGTCTGAGGATGTCTGGCTTTGTGGTGCTTCTGGCCGCTCGGAGATATCCTCGGAGACGGGTTGCTTGTCAACACTGACAGAGGCATGTTGATGTTCGGTGGACATCTTGTCGTTTTATTATTATTATATGGGTATAAAACTTTTATTCAGCCTCTTTGCGGGCAAGCAGTCAACTGACTACACCAAAGCGCAGGCTAAAGTAGTGCCAATTGAAGGACACCAATAGCCCGGAATATCAGATGGAGTTCTGTGAATTCTGAGTTAGTGGAATTCATTTTCAATTTCGGACAGGCTCCTTTACCGAGGTCAGAGGTAAACATACGTTGACTTGACTCTCCGGGAAAGAAAGGAAGATTCCGTTTTCGGATCTGATAAAGAGAGGGGTGGATCTTGGCGAAGAAAAACACCCAAACTCCCCGATATATAAGGAAGTCTTATAGTCTTATACACGGAATCGCATGACTCACGGGCTCAATCATCCGAGGGTAAATTCCAAAACGCCCGTTGAGGTTGAGATTAAGATTGAGGTTGAGGTTGAGCGAAAATCCTTCCTTTTCCCCAACGAGCTCTTCACCGAGGATAACCTTAAATCTTTTTTTCCCTTTCCGAGGCTATCCTTACCTCCTACGGATCTTGGTCCGTTCTATATGTACGGAGTACATACGATGTTGTACCTGTGTCCTTGATTTCCTCTCTTCTTGGCCTCCTTTCGGTTTTAGTGCTCATACCTTGCCGCCTTTTGCTCACTGAGTCTGAGCTGAGCCTGGGGTGAGCGACCTGAGTAAGCTGCATCAATAAAATGCAACACTCTAGTCACATCACGAAGGACTTACAGTATAGCAAGGCGCAATGTCTCACTGGTTAACTACGCTGAATTCGATGGTTCGTCGTTAATCATTTGCGCAACATAGACAGACAAATAAATGGCGAATATCATTTACAATATCCAACAGACAGTCACGCAAATGACGATATAAGAATGAATTACATAGATCCCTTCCCTGGTTATTGCCACCTCTAAATCGCCCTCGTCAGTCCCTAGCTTTTAGAGAAATTCCCACTTCATACCAGGTCCTTTTTATCCTTAAAAAAAAAGGCTATTGTTCCCCTTCGGAGCGTGAGCCTAACGTGCCTCAGCTCACGAGTCCCATGGAAGAGCAGGAACCGGGCATTCCTGAGCCGCTCCTATCGTCGCTGTCCCCAGTGTGAGAATATAAAACAGGTGACGGAGCACGACGCGGATATCTCACATCCCTGAATCTGCTCATCAGGTAATCCACGCTACCCAAATTGACGGTGAGTTCCCAAGCTTGCTGTCTGTCAGGAATTCGACGACTTCAAGATCGATAACCACCACTTGTCCATTGTCGCAGACTAGAAAATTAACTGGATTCAGATCACAATGCTGGGCCCCGTACTCGTAGAGCTCCTGGAAAGCGTTCTCAAGATGAGAGTTCAAAGTATTCTCTTCGACACAGACACTCGTTTCGGCTTGTTTCGCGAGATTGCGTAGAGTAATCCCTTTAATCTCTGAAAGGATTAAGGGCGGGCGCTCATTGAAAGAGCCTTCACCAAATAGAGTTGGGATCACGGTCCCTTGAAGCTTTTCTAGCTTCTTGTAGGCAGAAATCTCAGCGCAAAACTCAGCTTCCCATTCCTTTTTCTGTTGCTTGACAATGACTGTCTCTGGAAGCCCAAAACGGGGCTCCTCAAGTTCTAAGCGGTATATGGTCGGACGACGCTTATTCAGAAGCGTATCTTTTGTCACGGTGATACGTTTGCCGCCAAAACGAAAGATCTATATTGTGTGAGCTCTGCCAAATCATCCAAACTGTATACATAGATAGAGCTTTATCGGAGATATCGCTATTTGAAACATGAGATCCATGGTGTTTAGGGCGAAGGGCGCGACGGAAAAGGTCAAAGAAGGGGCACGGGAACCGGACGGGCACTGTCGTTGATTATTAAGATAATGCAGGAACCCTGGGGACCTGCTCACCTGGCCAATGTGCCGGTGGTTGGTGTATTGGGGGACCAAAGCATTCAGCCCCCTAGGCTGCCGTACATCTGCCCGCTGATACCCCCTGTTTCCAACAAGGTTATCATCTCCTTCCTCGCCTAAGTGAGAGCGAAACCAGGGAAGAAAAGATTCATGGATTAATGACTACCTGGCTAAGGAAGAAGGTCGATCTAGAAAAAGGGTCCTGGGTAAACAAGTCGGATACCTCAGGCAGATCGCGAACCCTACCTAGGTAAGCTCCGTATAAACACGTAACCTTCAGTCAACTGATCTCAACGAAGCCTAGCCGTTCGAACACCAAATTAACTATCTAGAGATGGGCAGGCAGACTTATCCTCATCGTCTTTGGAAGGCCAATCTTGCCAACATAGCTCTCGTTCTTGCTTCTCACACTGACGCACCATTTCCAGCCGATAATCGAGATCCCTGCGTGATGCCTCTCAAAATTTTCAGGAGTAGTGCCACCCTCTAGGTCAATAGCAAGGCCTGCTCTGATTGTGGAAAGCAGGGCCTCGGATTCATTCCAAATATCACGCTCATCGTCTGATCTTTCCCGTTCTTCCTGTGAGAAAGACACTGGACATGGGTGTGAACTAACGGCATTCCAAAGCTGATGGCTAGTGACACCCACCAAAGCCGCACGCAAGTTGATGAGGTTTGCATCCCAGGGGTAGCCAGTTTGATGAATCAAATATCGACGCATAGCCAAGTAAGGGTGTTGTAAAGCTTCCATATGTTTATCGTTATGTATACCTGTCGCAGCGGTATAATAGAGATCAGTCTCGTCATTTCGATGTTCCACAAGAGCTTGTATCTTTTCTTCAGAGCTGAGGTCATCCATGTTTTCTGGGAGCGAGGGTATGTGGAGGCTTTGCAGCTTGGACGAATCATGTTGGCTGAAATCTGGATAACCTGCTTGCATGAAAAACGGGAAGATAACTGAGGCCTGCCAATCAATTACCCCAGCAACCTTACTTGAACCAGGCGAAAGAATTATGTTCCCAGGATTCAAGTCGGGATGTCTTCACACTGGAGAGGCAAGTCCCGGCTCAGCTGGAATGAGACGAGGGGCCACTGAAAGGAACCTCGTAAGAAGATATATGTGTTCCTCAGGCAAGATGTCGTAATCTGTGGGAACGAACAGGTTTCTCCGCCGTTGGGGTTGCGGGAATTTCTTAAGCCATTGTATTTCTCGACGGGCCATGGATGAAACACAGTCCTCAGTTTTCAGCCCTGCAATTTGAATATTAGCCATGGGAAATAGATCGCTGATGGTAGCACTCACAATGGCCGCGGTCGATATCTAGCTGAACCCTCTCATCACACCAGAATTATCGCTTAGCGATGGGCCCTATACAGTACACTTGTTCCTCGATGGGAATACTCTCATAATTGCCGATATCGTGGCTGTTGTAAAGACTCCCGAATCCCGGAAATTGAAAGGAGAACGTCTTGTGTTCAACTTCCGCCACCTGTATTATTACCGTGCTTTACTTCTTCGGTTGTCAGGGAAAGCCACCGCGTTGCAAGACTTTCACCTTGAACATATTCCATAATGATGTATTCTGCTCCAACTGGATTATTCGCTGAGGTAGAATAAGCCAATATCTTTGGAACAGGCAGACCAAGAACATTTCTAAGAAAATTGATGGTAGCCACTTCGCCAGCAGTGGTATAGTGCGGTGTCCCAGCAATAGACGTTGGGATTCGAGCAATGACTTGATGTCCATCGTGCGCTGTTAAAAGGAAGATCTTGTTGAAGCCACCCTCGGCGATTTTTCAATGCTCGGACACCAGTCTTGCTGTATGGCGATTCCTGCGACGCGCATTGCGGGGTTGTCATATGCCTCAAGGGGAATGATTAAGGACATCACAGTTTTCTAAGTTAGAATATCACTGAGGGAACACAAAAAGATCTTTTTCTGTTCCGCAGTTCATTTCTTCCAATCAATTCCTTGGAGGACGATCTCTGATCGGCTCAAGCTGATCCCCGCCGTGTAACTTGCAGGCAGCTTTGCTGTTGAATTTTGGCTTGGTAGGAACCCAGCGGCCATTCCCACTGTGCCTCGACCTGACCGGCCGGCTTGGGCTTCCCCTCTTTAATCCCTCTTTGATATCTGAATTTCTTGTTGTTTGCATCGATATTTGAATCCAGTACTATAAAATACTATGTAATCTAGGCCTTTAAGCGACGATATATATCCTCATTATCACCCATCTTGATACTTTTAGTCCACCAGCAGAGTATAAGGCTACTCAGAATAATTAATTGCCATATACCTGCTAGATTACGGGTTGTTGTCAAAATACGATGTTGTAAATTATCCCATATACAACGTGTTTTGGGTAGCTCATTCGACCGCATAGCACACTCGGCCGCAGAGTGACGAATGCGGAGGATAGGGACAGGACAGTGGAGGGTAAGTGGAACTCTGCCGGAAGCAGGGCGGAACTCTTGGCAAGGCAGAAGGGATTTCTGCCACATATATTTTGTTCTCTCCTGCGGCTTTTGCTTTCTTCCCTTTCCTTCTCCAGACTTGATACCTTCGTTAAACGGTACGAATAGAGATTCTTCCTTTTTTAACTGTAACACGCAGATCATGTCACTTATTCGAATGTGATTATATGAGACAGTTTACGTCCAGTCTTCGAATTACAAAATCCGAGAGGCCGATATCAAGCCTCCCATGTCGGTAGTAAAGAAACTGTCAATACATAGCTGCAGACGTTAGGAGCAGCGACTCTCGATGGATAAGCCCGTTTTATTATAAGCTATGTTATTTACGATCAACATGGCGGTGTTTGTTACGATATAGCCAAATTGAGACAGTGATGTGATTGGGACAGAGCTTGGGGATTATGAGGAGCTGGGATGGAATGCGAATAAGACAAAGGGAAGGACATGCGTCAAATTGACTTCCACACATCCGAAAATCTTTTCCTCGCTTTCTCTCCAGCTTCGATACTTTCGTCAGGAGGCACCGCATTGATAGCTCAGGAACGACTTGGCTAGAGGGGGTCCCTGCTCGGAGTCGCTGCTCTGCCAATTAGCCTTACGTGCTTACAATGAGAACCCGAAAATAGTGACATAACTTACGAGCTCACGACTGACGGTGCTAGTCTTTTGAACGGTCAGTTCAATGTGGCGACGAGCAATGTAGGATAGGTGTAGAGAGATTAAAAGAGTAGTGAGATTGGAGGATGTGAAGTAGGAAGAGGGATAGGAGAAGGACGAAGAAGAGAGATGAAAACAAGAAGAAGGCAAACGCTGGGAGAACAGGAAGAGAGGTTACAAAGAGAAAAAAAGGCGGCGCCAGATTTAGGACCAAGAAACGAAACACGCAGTACTTTTCACGGTGAGATGGCAAGACTTGTTCTGGTGAGAGGAATCTGAGACTTACCACCCTGCACCCACAGCGACGATTCTTGAAAACTTCTGTCTCGCTAATTTGAATATGTACACGAAAAAGGGTAAAGAGAGGATAAAAAAGCAAAGTAGATTAGGCACCATCGCTAACCATCATGAATCAACCCACTCATCTCTGTAGCCCCGAAGATGGCACCAAGTTCGGGATGGGGAGACGTGTATTGCGCGCTTGGATCGAGCTCCACAACTGCCTCGAAGTCATGGAGTGTTACCTTCCCCGTTTCACGGTCATAGAGGATGTTATGCTTTCCGGCATCCAGCAGCCGTATCGAGATTGACCGCATGATTCGAATCCCGCTGATGCATTCGTTATAAATATGCGCCTGTTCACCTCCGGAGAGACTCTTCCAGATCCCAAATAGCTGGTCTCCGGGGACCTTCTCGAGCAGCAGGATGCTGCCCTGAGGAAACTGGGAGGAGCAGATTATGTCCCCAAAGAATGCTGGGCAGGTGAAGAGATCATGCCCATTTGGCTGGAGCTGGCGGAGTCTCTCGTACACCCGGTATTCACTCAGTGCACTAATTTTTTAAAATACATATTAATATCTCAGACGCCGCTGGTCATGGACGCGATATACCTCTGAACTTGATCATGAGACCAGCATTTGGCGATGTACTGCGTCTCACCAGATTGCAACTCGAAGACTGCCTTTGTATGACATAGACGAGGGGGCGAGAGAAGCTTTAAGCAGTTCACAAAGCCGGACGCCACGCCATTGTCTCCGATAATGATAGTGTCGGCGCTTATGCCAGGGACGGAGGTAAGCGATCTGATGTAGTCGCCCACTCTGCTTCGGTACATTGAAGGCCGCGTAGACGCGATCAGACCCGGAACTGTAGATGATCGGAGCTGTCTTCGGTGGTAATATCCATGGAAGTGTAGACTCGTGAATCCTGAGAGAGCAGCGCACTTACGAGGCCAGCATCAAGTGAGTCGGACTCCTCGTAGTGGGGACTCTGCGCAGCGAGAACTGCGAAGCCCGCAAAGCACTGTCTAAGCGACGGAGCGGATGCATTGTGGGGGATCGGCGGTGAGAGGTGGAAGCAGAAATCAGCCTCTCTTTTAACGAATACCGTGGACATATACGTAGAAAGGAATCCGTAACGAAGTTTTGATTTTCGCATATAGGCAACGACCTGGCCTGTATGATTATGAGTCAAGTCCGATCTCACATGCACACATTGAATCACCTACCGATGAATGGTTCTAGGTAATTCCGCACGTCCACAGGATCTATCACAGTATGATGCTCAAGATCCACAGTCCACCATGTCTTGAGCTCCCCGGCCGCGATGAGAGTGGCTGTTCCAGCACTGGGCGGGGTTCCATGCCTGAAGATTGCCAGTGTGACATCGGGAACAATTGTGGGGTTCGGTCGGAGCGCCTGTAGGTCGCCGAACTGTAATGGCACATTCGTGACGGACAGGGCCTTCGAGACAGGCTCACAAACGTGGCGGGCAAAGCGAGTTGTGAGGCCAAGCTCACTGCCGACAAAGTAGAAATCTCCCTCGACTGCATCTGTCAGACTGACAAGGCCCGTAAAATCCAGGGACGCAACGGCCTCTCGGACCTGGGTCTTGAAGTTGGTCCACAGATGCATGTAGGTTGCACAGAGAGTCTCATCTGATACCGAGGGCGAAGTAGTCACTCCAAGCTTGATTAGGTCTGGAAGTTCTCTCGCGAGAAGTTCCCGTGGAGATTCCATTGTAAGAGCAGATGATGCCGTGGAGAAACGCAGGTGCAAAGTGACAAGGTGGTAGTGGCTAAGCGATGGAAAGAGGATGGAGGAAGGGAGGAACCTCCAATTACTCTTACGGATAACATAACATATAGCAGGCGTCTGGCGGCTCTAGCGGCTCTGGCCATATCGGGCTTAGTGTGTATTAGACTAAAAACTATACCGTTTGATTAGCCTGCTTGGCGTCCCGCTTTCAAAGAAGGGCATTTGAAGGGCATTCTAATTGGCTAATTAGCTGATCCCGATCCATATGGTCTGCTTCTCCAATCAATCTGATTACTAACCACTAGAGCCCAATCTCAGCCTATTCTTGATCCAGAGTTGGCAGGCTTTGAACCATTACTTGTGAGGTTGGGTGCTTGGGGAAAGCGACCTAAAAATGTCAAAAATATAACGACTCGATTTTTCTATACCCACAATATTAGTTGGGACCCCGCAACGACCACACCCTTGGTAGGCATCTACACCGAAGCACCGGCCCCAAAGGCATCGAGCCACCTGCTCGGATGTATCTGTAGCACCTCCAACGAAGCAGTGTGTGTGTGCACAGTGCGATATCGCCGGACGGTAGCTTCCTGGCAGCGGCGACGCCCATAGCTGCCAGCGCCGACGATGTCGTGCTGAGGGCCACAGTGACGATCCTCCTGCAGTTATACCTCACTAACCTCAGGTAAAGAGGTGCCAGTGGAGTTGCCGGTCGGGCGAGGAAGCACCGGTCCGTCGAGTCATAGAGCCCAGTTCCAACTCTCTTCCTCTCTTCTTCTTCCTATTTTGTATACGAGCACCACGTAAATCAACCCCAAAAAAGCGGCTCGAGTCCGCGCTAAGCGGCACCACCTCGTATTTGCGGGCAACAACCCCTACCGCTACAGGCAACATGCCCCCGTATTCCCGCGAATACGAACAACAACCTTAAACAGACCTTCTTGGCGCCTATTTACCTCTGTTCAGCCGCATTGATGTAGTAAGTATCCAGTCCTTAAGATCGTAGTTCTGCCCCAAATCCCACAACATTTTCCAAAGAGCATAAGCAGGGTGCCAGCTATCCAAGCTCTATACTATACCTTCCCAACTTCTCAAAATGCTCCCTCCAATCCCCTCCTTTACAGCCCTAGCCCTATCCCTCCTCCTCGCCAATATAGCAACCAGCACATCCACCCAAGACGAACCCCAACACCTCTCCAACGTCACCCTCAACACAGACGATGTCTTCTCCGTCTTCAACCCAACTCTAGAGACACGCGACTTGGAATGCGGCGCCGGGTACAGCCAATGCGCATACAGCTCCCGCCGCTGCTGTCCGAGCTCCGGGAAGTGCTGCGGGAACGGGTACTGTGCCGATATAGGCGAGACGTGCTGCACCAGCGGCGGGACGTGTTCAGCTGGCTACAAGTGCTGCGCTGGGAGCACGGGGTGCGCGCCGAACGATGGGGAGTGTTGTTCTGATGGTTACTACTGTCCGGCGGGGAAGACTTGTCGTATCTATAAAGGGAGGAAAGTTTGTTGTGCGCTGACTGGTTGTATTGGGGAGTATGATGGGATTGGGTCCGGGGGTACGGTTCCGGATGTTACGTCGACGGCGACGGCGACGGCGACGGAGACGGAGACGGAGACTGCTACTACAACTTATGTTGAGGTTGAGTGGGATTATTATTCTACCACTATCTACTGGTAGGTGTTTTTTTTTGTTTGGTTCGGTTGGTTCGCTGGATGGTTTGCTGATTTTCTTTATAGGACTTATTGGTTCTACTACTGGACTTCTTATGCACCCTACACTGTTCGGACGGTTACTTCTACAACCACGAGTACTCGCACTGTCTTCTCTGTTTTTGCGTCAAACAGCGCTGAGGCGACATCTTCGCTCTTGGAAAGGTCGTCTAGTTACTCGTTCTACGCTCCTTATGAGGCAACTTCTCTTAAATTCTCGTCGGAGCCTGTCACATTGAGAACGGGTTCCCCAGCTCCACATGCTACTTCGTCCGCTGATTCAACATATGGGGTGCTTTCAGGCCCAATCAATGGGGCAGGTTCTGCAGGTTCTGCAGCAAGCGTGAGCGTTAGTGGGACTGGCATTGGCATCCTGGCTGCTGTCTTGGTTGCTGCAATTGGTGGCTTGGCCTTTGGGCTGTGAGAAGCTTGGACAGGTGTGGTTTAGGGTATTTGAGATTAACTGGGGTCATTTGCGATTGAATTTTGACCTTGATGTATCTGAGCTACACAATGTCTCCATAATATGCAATACCTAGGTACTTAATGGCTGTGCGCCATAATTCATGAAATATCCATCCAGCATGCGAAATAGTACTGAGCTGAGCAACATCGGGAAAATGTTTAGTCGAAATGAACTTAGAATCTGCCTTCTCAAGAGGCTTGACTACTGCCAGATGAGCTACCCTTGCGGTGCTCAACATGGGTACCCTTTCCAGCCTCAATATCGCCCGTTCCGCTAGCCAGATCCCTATTCTTCTCTGAAACATAGCTAGTGCGGCGCAGGTGCTCCTTGGTGTCTTCGTAGTTGATGAGAAGCTCGCCGTTCTTACCGTAGCGGTGGGGCTCGTTGCGGGCAACCGAGACGACATTGAAGACGCTGGATGTCTTGTGGAAGATTGTGTCCATCTCCTCCAGAGATCGATAGGCAGTCTCAGGGTAGAAGAAGTAAACGACGGGAACGATGAATGCATTGCTATTGGGAACCGAGTTAGTCGTGCACCAACTCCATTTTGCGCAGAATATACTCACATGACAGCAAAGATAATATACGTCTTGTACTTGATTGAGTCAAATGCAACAGGCGTGATCATGACAACCATAAAGTTGAAGATCCAGTTGCCCGAGGTTGCGAGTGCGTTGGCAGGAGCACGGATTCGTAGAGGCACCTATCGAATATTAGCGGTGTTTTGGCGGAAAGGAGAGAGATGAAGCCTTACAATCTCAGCGGGATACAGCCAGGTCATTCCCAGCCAGCCAAAGGCAAAGAATGTATTGAAGACAAACAAGAACACGGCAGCGGCAATACCAGGCTTGCTCTGGCCCTCAAAGCTAGTAGTGGCGGCCAAAACGGCCATGGAAATCGACATACCAGCGGCACCGATCAACATCAGAATTCGTCGGCCCACCTTCTCAATAATGAAGATTGGGATCAAAGACGCCAAGAAGTATTCAGTGCCGTTGCAGGCAGCTAGAATGCGCGATGTCAGGCCATCCATACCAAGGGAGTTCTCATAAATGGTAGCAGCGTAGTATGTGATCAGGTTGATACCAGAGATCTGCTGGAACATCTGGTTGACGTAGGCAAGTACGACACGGTGGAAGTGACGGTTCTCATCCATAGTGAGTAAGTCACGGAAGCTGACACTCGAGGCAGCCAGGACTGCATCCTTGATAGCGGAAAATTCCGAATGGACGTAGGGATCGCTCTCGTCCAAGTCTAGAATAGCAGAGAGAACCTGCAAAGCTTCCTGTTCGCGACCCTTGAGGATAAGCCAGCGAGGTGATTCGGGCAGCGGCAGGACGAAGATTAGGATGACCAGCGCGAAGACGTTTTGGAACGCGATTGGGAAACGCCATGCAACGGAGCTAGGGTCAAGGAAGGAGAATCCGAGATCAAGCCAGTAACTGATTGTAATTCCAGCAGCAATCAAGGAGCCCTCGAGCATTACAAGTTTTCCGCGATGGTGGGACTTGGAGCATTCTAAGTAATATTAGCATCGCGCTTCTTTTCTGATGAAGCCGAATACTTACCAGACTGCCATGTAGGGACGGTAGAGGTGTTCATGCCATTGCCGATACCAGTGACAATCCGGCCGACAATGAGATGAGGCACCGAGTAAGCACACGCCTGTAGTGTAGCCCCGATCACCATGATGATGGAGCCGGTGAAAATCGTCTTTCGGCGACCAAGGTAGTTTCCAACCCAGATACAGAGGATTGCGCCGAGAAAACAGCCCAAGTTATAAGAAGCGATAGTGATTCCTGATTCCTGATAAATTAGTATGTAAATGAATAGAAGGTCGCCATGGAGTTGCATACCCTGTGTAGTCGCGTTGCCACTGGTCGATGAACTCGATTTAGTGGTGTCAATTTCAGGGAAGACCGTAACAAATGAGTTCAATGTCAATAGACCTCCCATAACACCTCTATTGAACGTTAGCAAGAGAAACACACTCGACTTCTCATGCATAGCTTTTGATGACATACTGGTCATATCCGAATAGCCTGCGCAATTCCAGGTTAGTGCTGTGTACTTCGAAAGTAGATAATTAAAAGACCAACGTACAAGAAGTCAAGACCAGCAATAACGCCGATCATGATATTCAGGTTCGTGCCCCGAAGGCCGAAGTATGGCTTCATGATGCCGGATATGGTGAATAGGTTAGGTTGCAGGTTGTAGAAGGAGGACAGCCAAGCTCTAAAAACAATGGTAGTCCGACTATTTGCCGGGGCTAAGAAATGGATTTAAAATGAACCGACTGCTAGGCAGAGAAGAAGAGAAGAGGAGAAAATAAGATCAAACTAAGTAGGCAGGTCCGGGGAAGTCCAAGTTTATGAACCCGAGAATCAGACAAGGAGGGCTCCACATCGAATGATTATATTTTGGAACGCAAATCGGAATCGAAAACCAGCGAGAGAAAAGCCAATAACAAGCAGGAGCAAGGTTGCATTGATGTCTATACCATGGCCTGATTGGGGGAAGCCACTTGTACCTCCCGTCGTCACGGCCGCGAGGCTTTTGATCATCGGTATCCCTCCATGTCTTTTTATGGGACCGGGCAACCGGCGCCAAAAGAGTTGCAGTTGGCCATGCGAGACCCCTCGCATGGCCCAGTCTCTGTCCGGTATTAATAGTGCATGTATTGTCTCAGTACGGTAATATTCGCGATGGCATCAAATTGAAAAGGTACCTAGGTACATACGTATGGACTCATAGACTCAGGTACTTTTCCGACTCTGTTTCCGTCGATGATATAGTGTATGACAGCTGCACGGGTCACAGAATCTCGCGTGGTTTAAGGTACTTTCGCCATGTTTGGATTCAACTGTGACGAAAACCTGGAGATTCTCCAGTTTCCCCCGGACTCCCCCATACTTTTTCCTCCGCTGATCTTCGCTGAAAGGGACTACATACAACATACTATGTGTCGACTTTGGAGACTCAGACCACTGCGCACAATTGCCTTCCGCCTTACGCTTCATGATTTTACCTTTTCTTCGCCGTTCGCCAAGCAGACTTGGCAGGGATGACAACGGGTTCACGAAGCTTCCAAGGTTCCATATAAGCCTCACGGACCGATATCAGGTCCCGAAAATCTACTCATAAAACCGGCCAATAGCTGAAGCCAGCGATGACATCATCGACACTTAGTCCAATGTCCAAAAGAGGTAGGTGGCTTTCATCCTACATCATCAGCCTTGGAAGTCTCTGGATTTCAGAATCCTTCCTGTCGTCAAAAGTCTGCAGTTCGGTGCTGGCCGAATCACGGGGTTCCCGAGAGCACGGGATGCCCGATTCGGAGATCCCAATGTATCAAACTGCAACTCTGTATTTACACGATACTACCCAATTATGCAATCATTTGGAATTCCAAGTTAAGTAAAGTGGCAGTAATAACTACACTACCTAGGCATTACTCGTAATATTTTCAAGGGAAACCCGCCGAAACTTATCAGTCCGAGTACAGAGCCACCTGGCCGGTTAGGGCACCGGAATCCTGCATTCGGTCCACAATACATCCCGGTAATGACGCGGTAAATACACGTACCTGACATAGGACCAACCCTGACCATGCTAATAACGACGATCAACTAGGAAATAATAGCCAACGATCGACGGAGTTTTACTAGTGCTCGCGTGGTATCGGAATCGTGGCGTACGGCCAGCCCTCAAAATACTTATTTCCTTAATACTATGTCCTACAACCTACAGTGGCATTTCATGAGTATTTGCACCCCGGTACCTCCGTTATTGACCGCTCTTTTACACCGCCTGCCTATTCCTACTAGTATAAACCCGGCGCGGCGCGCGCAGCAGCGCGTAGTATACGAAGTTTTGTATCGGCAGAAAATAAGTGGGTCCCGGGCCTTCCGATGTACTGGGGTGCAAATACTCATGAAATATGACTGTAGAATCTTACTCGGGTCAAGAGGAAATGCACTAAACGGATGTTTCATTGAAAATGAACTTGCCAGCCAGATAACAATGAACGTCAGAAATTTCCCCAGATCAGAGCCTCCTGCCCAGACCCTCCATCCTCAGGCTCATCCAGAGACGCGTCAAAATCAAATCGAGCTCAACAGAGCAGGAAAGTCTGAACAAAATATCCTCCTTTTGAGACCCGCGGCCGGTCAGCAATCACTGTAAAACTCCTGGGTAGAATCCTGACTAACATCAAATAGATCGCGAGTATGGGAAAAAAGTATGAGAAGCAGCAAGCACAGACCCCATATGTAAAATCATAGTTCTTGTCCATATTGGGCCACCGTAAGGCATTCCAATAACAGTCAACACCGACAAGTTCCACATGGGGCCGATCATAACAGGGGAGAAAGGGAAGCCAAATTGCTGTTGCTTTTAGAGCTTCGCAGTCGCCCATTTTGGCATGGAAATGTAGTATTACCATTTGTCGTCGTCGTCGTGCTTTTCGCCCTCTGGGCCGAGCAGATCAGGTTCGTCGTGCTGAGGAGAGCCAGGGAAGAAGGTAGGTTTGTCTTGAGGCTCCTCGTCCTTTGGCGGCTGACGGCAACGGACAACGGTGTGACCCACTAAATGACTGTTAGCTGACCAACTCGAATATTAAAAGCGCTTGTGGTCGACTCACTTTCTCCGCAGTTCTTGCACTGAACCTTCGACCAATCTTTCGGCTGATCACAATCGCGAGAGTAATGTCCGGCTAAAATAACACTCGTCAGTTCTGTTTCACGGTATATAATGACCAAGGAAAAGGAACATCTTCAGGGCTTGCATCACACTTACTCTTTTCACAGTTGCGGCAGGTAACAGTGGAAACGTCACGAGGATGATCACAATCGCGAGCAATGTGGTCTTCGGATCTGCATTTACGTTAGCATCAGCGACAATCACAGGGCTCTGATTGTGATGTTTTAACATACCCGCAATTGCGGCAGGTGCGAGGTCCACGATCAGCAACATTCGGGCAATCTTTGGCAAAATGGCCAGCTGAAACAGATATGTTAGCTCATCGTGAAATGTATGAATCATCTCGGTCAAGGTCTTGTAATACTTTCGTTGCATTTACGGCATTCAACACCATCCGCAGATCGGGGCTCTGTGCAGTCAGAAGCAATATGCTCCACAGATCTTCATAAAAGTTAGCATTATCCAGTCTATTGTTTGTATCACAGCCGCATACCCGCAGTTACGGCAACCATGCTTGTTCTTGCGCTGCTGTCTGCAATCGCGCACACGGTGTCCAAGCCCATCACAGTTTGAGCACTTGATTTCCACACGCTCGTTGCCCTCCGCGCGCTCCTCCTTGCAACTGCGCGAGATATGTCCCAACTCTAAAGAGAATGGTTTAGCACCGTTCTGAGGAATCTGCAATCAAAGTGAACACCTACCTCCACAGTTCAGACACTTAGGCACCTTGCGCTCGTAGGGAATACCAGCGTTGTTCATGCGTTCGAGGTTCTCCTCGGCATCCGCAGGCCACCGGTCTCGGAGGTGGCCACGCGACGCCTTGGGGCTGAAAAAGAACCCAATCACGTACTCACGGTCAAGCACTCCCTGAAGGTCGATAAGGCTCATGACATCGTCAACTTCAGTCTCCTGTAGTAGAAATTCATTCATGAGTAATTCATCCCTAAGTATCAAAACAACAATGATTGGTTACCATAGCAATGATGTAGATGTTGAAATCATCATCTCTCATCTTCTTCTCAATGTCCACCCAGGTGGCGTGGGGGACTGCCTTGGAGTAGATTTTGAGTGCCTGGAGTTGGTCAGCCAAAGCTCAAAACTTCAAGGTACGTATGGATCCTTGGCACCTCTCGGAAATCATCAAGATCCCTCTCGTCACTGGCTTTCTTCATTGCAGCCCAGGCTTCATGGGGAAGCATGTCAGCAACGAGGTTGAGATCGAACTTGCGATTCTCCTTGCATTCCATGGTCTTGTGGCCTTGAGCCTGGCAGTTCTTGCAGACATCGGGGGGTCTCTCGGGACAGTCAACAGCTGGGTGACCTTCCTTTTCGCAGATACGGCAGGTACCCTTGAACACGCGCGGCTTAGTGCATTCGGCCTTGGAGTGACTAGTTTAGGTCGATTAGCAAATTAAACACAAAGCGCTCAGCAATGACTCACCCTTCTTCGCCACAGTTGAAGCAAGGGCCCATCTTGCGAGGCTCGGTGCATTCGGCCTTGGAGTGACTGTTTCAGCAAAACGATTAACGCCGTAACACACGGGATGTTCAATGATAGCTCACCCTTCTTGGCCGCAGTTGAAGCATGCACCCGCCTTGCGAGGCTCGGTACACTCGGCTTTGCTATGGCTGCATTGTCATCAGTACAATTGATCAAGCACATAGACCGCAACGACTTACCCTGCCTGGCCACAGTTGTAGCAAGCACGGTCACCACCACCACCACCACCACCACCACCGGCGTATTCACCATATCCTCTGCCATTGCCATCGTCGTAGTTGCCGTAGGCATCGCTGTATTTCAGTATTGGTTAGATGAGCTGGCACAAAATGACATAGAAAGTGCAGGACCAACTTGCCCTGCATTGCTGTCTCTAGCTCTCAGAGGAACCGAGGCATTCGGACACTGGCGAGTCATGTGGCCAGGTTCACCACACCTTGGGTTTGTAAGTGACTGGAGTTCTTGGGGAAATTTCCCGAGCCTTGAATTCTAGAATATTGGAGAGGAGAACTCACTGTCCGCAGGTGAAGCCATCGTCATGGGCTCCATGGATATTCGTCTCCATTTCGGTCAACTCTTGATAACATGCTCGTTAGTCAAATACCGAAAACAGTATTGTCGTCGTGAAAGTATCCTTCACTAGTGTGGAGGATGGAAGCGCGAAGGTTAAGAATGAACGGGGAGGAGGGCCAGGATTTGTGAGAGAAACAGAGGCAGATGAGACAAGATCACCAAGGAGAATCGGAACACGGGCCTTTAATGTAGATCGCTCGCCCAGGATCATCGAGGAAGACAGTGCAGAGTCAACGCGAAGAACGACACTTACCAACTTGGTTGTCGATGTGCAGTAGACGCGAAGGCTGTTTGTTGATGAGGATTGAAGGCGGAGGGAGAAGAGGGAAGAAGAAAAGGAAGAGGAAGAGGGGAGAGGAGGAAAAGGAAAACAAAGGACATCCGGCAAGCGACGCGGAGGTGAAAACTGCCTGTTTGAGGAAGGAGCGATGCGTTGCCCTGCCTCAGGCAACGTCTTTATCTGTAAAGGAGCTTACACTAGACCGGGTGCTCAATCACATTAGAGCCACAAATGAGATTCCATAGTTCGAAAAGAAATTGCATGCATTCGAATGGTAAGTGGTCAAATATTCTGCTAGAAATACAGAGCACATGCAAAAGGAACGATGGTATAGGGCCACTAACGGCAAGACCAATATCAACCTGCCTACCATTACCGGAATAGCCTGCCCAGCAGGCCACCAGCGATATTGTTCACAATACCACCACCCAAAGCCGAGTTGGCATATGTGGAGGCCTGGCCAAACTTATCACAGCGAGAGAAGGCCATGGTATTCGTGATAGTCAAGATGAGTGCAATAACTAAACCAAAGTTAATACCTAGTGTCTGCGTATATCAATGTATCTTGGGAGTCACTTACCAATTAGACTGAGCCAAATGACACCAACAAGTCTCACAATGGCCAATATCGCAAGGCCAACCCATAGAGCTGGTGTGACATATAAGCTCAGCCAGAAGAACCGTTTGTCGGTGGCTGTCACAGTGCGAACGTTGGGATCGGATGATTCGAAGACCCACTGCGAGTCGCCGGTTGAGGTGTCCACCTCGTTCCACCAACGCAGGCCGACCAGCCGGCGTCCTGCAATGTTTTTGAGATAATAGAAATCCGCGGAGAGGAGGAGAAGGGTGAAAATGAAGACGAGGATACTAGATGGCCGTTAGCATCGCAGGTTGACAAGCGGGTAGATCAGCACAGGGTCCATACAAGTCATCGATGAAGAGTACACCAAATAGATACATCAGTAGCGCACCTAACCATCAAGTCAGTCAAATCATTCTTCCCACTGCTACTCGACGCGGGGGAGTACGAACCGATCCGAATGCCCAAGAAGACAAGTAGCGTGATCGGGTGCGCGCTAAGGCGCCAGTTGAGGTCGCCTTGACCTCCTTGTCCTTGGTCCATAATTTGCAATATGGAGGGTTTGACGTGGTCTCAATGTGAAGGACCTCGCGGTCAGCAGATTGGGTTAATTCGATCCAAGTCAAGTCTGTTGTTGACTGACGATGCTCCCTATGTGGTTGAAACACGGGTGCAGGCGGTTTCTTGTGGCAGAATAATCATAGAGCCGAAGCATAGACCAAGTAGATTTGTTGATGATGTGTAGTATTTGCTTAGCCAAGGGGTGCAGCATCTACCTAGCATATTGTGGAAACATCTGCCCTTTGGGGATTGCTAAAGAGGGTCTATAAGAAGATATGATCGTTACTCCTGCTCCTATACATGTCCAAAAATACTCACGTGATTACACTGAGTGGATACATGTACCCGTCAGCCACACGTGCACTTATTTATGTCCACCTGGGCAACGTATGTGGCGCTAGCCGATAAGGGACAGAGTTTGATCTATATGAGGCCTCTGCACCAAAATCACAAAAGGAAGCCACAGCAATAGAGAAGTCACATCGCAGTAGGCAAGCAGGCAGAGGATGAAGTATAGAGTAGGTATGGATTGTAGGGACCCGTTACACCAGCAGTCAGACTTACCATCTTCATAATACATGTCTGTTCGCGAACGTCGACGAGAAATACGACTGAGAAATCAGAGGCAAAAGGCTTCTCTGTGAAAATTATTTCTTTCGGCTTAACATCATCGAGCTCGCGCATGGTTTCAGATGGAAGAGACCTTTGCAAGCGAGGCGTTGCAAGGAGTTCAATGTTGTCGGTTGTAAATCTACATGTACAAAGGTACTCTTCGGTTGTATGGCCTCGGGCTGGGATACCTAATGACGCTAAGTCGATCTTTGGAATATGTAGGAAATTCATTGATCTCGGAAAATATATCTGGATCAAGCTTGGCTACTGAGAATAACAGAATGGTCCCTACGCTGAGTTCTCCCATTAAACAAACTGCCTGCAAGCATAGTAGGAATGGCCAATTTTATGCAATCTCATGAATTGCATCAGCTCATAAAAAAGAAGTTAAAAAAAATCAACTCTGCCAACCTTCTACATGGGACATACTTTGAAGCGGCTTTACGGATAGCCGAGTCGGCTTCTTCCCGATCAAGTCAACTCCATGAAGACATCCACTCCCCAAGAAAAACAGTACACAACTCTATGCCAGTTGAATGCACACACAAATCACCATATAAACAATGGCAGCCCGCAATACTCTCCGTCGTTCCCTCCTCTACGGTAAGCTCGAGCTCCCTTCCTAAGCTGTATCGCATCTTCCCCGCATTTCACTGCCCGAGCTCAAGAAAAAAAAAGCCCCAAAGCTAACAAACATATTACGTAGTCCCCGGCTCCTCTCAACGCTTCCTAGACAAGTCGCGCTCACTGACCGCCGACTGCGTCACCTACGACCTAGAGGACAGCGTGACTCCGCACATGAAAGTAGCGGCGCGCTCGCTAGTGCGGAGAGCAATCGACCAAGCCGCGCCGCCAGGAATTCGGGAACGCGCCGTGCGAATCAACTCCGTAGACAGCGGGCTCGCGCTGGGTGATTTGACCGAAGTCGTGAGTGGACTCCGGACAACATACATACATAACTAGCACCCCATACAACGATCAACTTGCTAACCGACCCAGCTCCAATCACCAAACCTAACAACAATCGTAATCCCAAAAGTCAACTCCGCCTCCGACCTAACCTTCGTCACAGACGTCGTAACCCACACTCTATCCCAGCAACCACCAGCAGAAAGAACCCCAATCTCACTCCTGGCTCTAGTCGAGTCCGCCAAGTCCTTGACAAACCTATCTCAGATCTGCGCCGCTTCGCCCTTGCTCCAAGGTCTGGTGTTCGCAGCCGAAGACTTCGCCCTAGACCTGAGCATTACGCGGACGCCCTCACTGACAGAATTTTTGTTCGCGAGGTCTGCGATAGCCACCGCTGCGCGGGCGGCGGAGCTGCCGTCGACGATTGACCTCGTCTGTACAGCGTACAAGTCTGAGATGGGGGATGGCTCGCCGCCGGCTGTGCTGCAGGAGGAGTGTCGGGATGGGCGCAGGTTGGGGTTCAATGGGAAGCAGTGTATTCATCCATCGCAGGTGAAGGTTGCAGATCAGATCTTTGGGCCGGATGCGCTGGAGACTGAGTGGGCTATGCGGGTTGTTATTGCTGATGAGAAGGCTGCGAGGGCGGGGCGGGGTGCTTGGACGCTTGATGGGAAGATGATTGATGTTCCTGTCGCTCATAAGGCTAGGGCTATCGTTAAGAAGGCTGAGGCTTGTGGAGTTGATATTGATGCTTTGAGGCGTGAGTGGCAGCATCAGGAACCAGAGTAGGTGGTTCATATATGTAGTGTTGTGTATTATCTACGCACGATATCCCTGTACATGTTCATTGTACATTCTAGTATGTTGTATGCCCGCATCATTTCCTTGAGAAGAGAGTTTTTGCTACTGTAGATTGTATTCGGTTGGGTCGATAGTTCTAAGAGTCATTGAGACCATCTATATAGAAGCATGCAGCCAAGAAGAATTTATCCTAAAAAATATTGCTTAAAGAACTCACTACGTTCGCCTGATGGAGTCTGCTGTGTGCTGTGGTTGAGTCACAGATTTGGGCGAAAGGTTGAAAACAAGTTGAGTTATCAAAGGATTCAATAGATTTGTACTGGGGTATTATGCCGCTTTGACGCAAATTGAGTTGAATGACACGCCAGGTCATTGATTTTGAGTCTCTATTTCTTCGCGCTTGAGTAATTGAATCTTGCCCATAGTCAGGACAGGAGGCTCTCCGCCAGCGTTGGCCTCCATCATTTCACTACCAAGCTCCTTGGCTAGTGACTTGTCATAACTGGTTGGATCGATGCCGAGAATCCCTCCGACATAACCGCCTCGCTCACCAGGTACACTGAATTCCCGGAACAAGTACCGCCACTCGTTTAGCCATGCTTTAACGGCCTTGCCGATTTTATCTTTGCCGTTCTTCGAGTGGTGACCAGTGCCTGTGATGGCATACACCACTCGGAGGCCTTCTCGAGCATGCTTGAGCAGAATTTTCTCGAGATATTCGATAGCCTCTTCTGGGTGGAGGCCGTGAAGGTCGACATAAAGTTCTTCCGAAGATTCATCCAATCCCTTGTGAGAGAGATGTTGATTGCGTTCTTCATAAAGTTGGCGCGCAGCCTCCCGATGGCACCTGCGCATCGCGTCGTTCTCGGCCTGGCCGCGCAACGACAATGCTTTGGCAGCTCGTGCATCATTGCGGTTCCATGCTTGGGCAGCGCTGGTAGATACCGTTAGAAGTGGTGGAAGGTAATAGTACTCGCTGAAAGCTTACCTCTGGAGGAACTTGTTTCGCACGGTGCCATGGCGAATAGCCTCAGTCCGATATTTTATATATTGTTGATTGGCCCGGGAGCCTGTCTCCAGCCAGGGGATATTTTGCGGGGCTGGAATCGACTGGGCTGCGGCACTGTTCTCGCGACCCTTCGTGTCTTTGCTTTTGGAGCCAGATTTGGTTTTCCCGGGGACAGGAGATGGGGTCATTCGAACCACATCTGCCAGAGATGAAGGAATGCTTTCTTTGCTCAAGCTGGTT